GGTTTTCTGTCTACAACCACTGTACCCTCTCACATAAGCTTTCGAGCTAAAAGACCAACAACATGATGGAACTTGAATCAGAATATGACGCATTTCAAGTGAACAGGTCAAGGACTCAAGCAAGTAAATTAGGCATTTTTTTTTTTTCCAAGTATAATATCAACATTCAACACTCTCCTTGGAAAAAAATGTTCTCCAGCCAGAGAATGAAACTCAAATCAATCACAAAAGTTACATTGCATCGGAACATCAGCATCATTGGCTTTCCCAAAAAATTGTGAGATGTGAAGAACTGTATATGTTTGTGAAATATCAAAATCAGTCAACACACATAAAGTGTTAACATAAAATGTAATTCAAGACAAAGAACTCAAGGAGCAGAAAATAAAAGAAGAGATCCACTACAACACAATCCAATCAAAACAAACCCTTGAAAAACAAGAACGTTGGTTGAGAAAAACATAAAGAGCAAAAACTGGACCAAGACAATTACACACGTAAAAGCTAATTAAAGAACAATCATAAAAGAAAAACATATCACAAAGAAAGACCAGCAAAAGAAAGTTTCTGTCAATCATCAATCACAATAAGAAAACAAAGACCCAGAAGTCAATTTTAACCGAATGATCCTGAAAAGCTAAGCAGTCAAAGAAGAAGAATTTTTACTTGAAATGAGTTTAACATGGTTTTCTGCAGACTGGAGCTCATCAAAAGGAGTTTCCTTGTCCAAATTCTCCGTCTGGTTGTGCAAGATTTCACATTGCAAAGGCCACTGCTTGTTATTGTTGTTGGTATTGATGTTATTATTCTCCATGTTCCCCATTTCTTGACCAAGCTGTTCTGCGTCTATCAAGCACATGCTTATGATGAAAATGATAATGGCGGTGCTATTTTTAGTGCTCAGTTTCTTAGCGAGTCGCTGAGGGAATCGGAAAGTAGTAGAAGAAGCAGAGAAAATGAAATATAAATTTGTGGTGAGAAGATTCTGAAAATATTTGAGTGGAAATGAGGGCCTCTGTTTATTGGAGTAGTATTCTGAGAGAGAGAGAGAGAGAGAGGGAGAGAGACAGCGAGAGAATGAGAATTCCAGATTTTTCTGTGAAAGCCACACCACACCACAATCTTCAAAACCGTAATTTGTCTCAAGCCTAATTAATTAGCAAGTTTGTTTCGTTTCGTTTTGTTTTGTTTTGTTTAATGGGCAATAATTGCCCCAAAAAGTTTGAAAGTGAATTAAAAGGGCCAAAAACACATATCATCTCTTATGTCATGAAGCCTCATTTAGTACTTGAAAACATCATGCTGGCCAAAAACCGCAAACAAAGCTACAAACCAAACAATCTTTCTTTGGTTCCCTCTTTCACATGTCATCAATCTCAACTTGTAACAAGGTTTCTCCTCCAACTCTCATTAGCTCATGATTTACACATTGTTATTTCCATAGTTGGTCAGTTTCTTATTGAAGCCCCTCACTACTAATTGAACCTCTATTTTGATCGGCTAACGGGATCTAGCCCAGTGAAAAAGAACCTTGACTTGCAAACTAATGGTCTCAAATTCAATTCGAATCTTGGCACATTGACCCCGTGTGAGAAAATCTTTGTTTTGACTGAG